ACAAGGAGAGAAATAAAAGAAAAAAAAATATGAGGAGAGAAAAAGGGGAAGAAAAAGGAATATGAAGGGCAGAGATGAAAGAAAGAAAATAAGAATAAAGAATAGGGGAAGGAAAATAGTATAAAAGAGAAAAGGAAGAAAATAATTATGAAAAGGAAAATAGAGGAGAAAGCAGATAAACAAAAAATAAGAATAGGAAAAACAAAGAAAAAGCAGGAGAAAGAAGAAAAAAAAGGGTAAGAAAAAGGAAGGGAAAAATTAGATTTATGAAAGAAAAAAAAACTAAAATAATAACTTGACAAAGAAGATAAAGAGAAAAAAAAGTAGTGTCATTCATCTCAGCAGAGTTTAGTGCCTCCTGGGAGCTCCCTTTGGATCCTGTTCTTCTGATGACTGCGGCTGATTGTTCTGTCTGCCAATTCTGGGCTTCCCAGGAGGTACTTAGGTGTTAACCACTGCCAGAAACTACCTTCTTTTGACTCTCAGCAACCTGTTTGAAGCTTCAGGGAATCCACAGTTTGCGCCTTTCTCCACAGGACTTGGCTGCACATGAGAGGGGCCAAGCCGCACTCCAAGGCAGGTTTGTTAGCAGCACAGAGCCCAGGGCTGGGTCAGAAAACTTCCCCAGGTTCCCCAGGTTCCACCTCCACCTGCCTTTACCTGCTAGCCAACTATCAATCTTAATCACGCAAAAGTCTGTTTCTGAAAGGCCTCTAGGCAGAATCAGGAGTCTAGGTCTCCTATGAGTGGGCAGTGCCGCTCAGATTTCAGGGAAAGTGATGACTGTTTCGTTGTCCCAGAGATACTACTCTGACAGTGTCCCAGGATATTTTCCTGCCCTTGGCTGGGCGGAGATCCTGGTATGCAGACCAGTGAGATCAGCTGGAAACCTGGAATTTCTATCAGCTCGCCTATGAGGAACAAGAACCCATCAGGTTCCCGGGTTAGAGGGGCAGGAGCTCTGTGAGGTTTGGCCTCTGCTGTTATCTCCTCTGCAAAGGTCAAGATGCAGGGGGTAGCGAGCAGGGTTCCTGAGGGTCTGACAGGCTGTATAACCTAGAGTGGGCCTTTTTCCTTTTCCTGAGCTGTGGCTTCTGGGAGGCACCAGCACCTCTCAGGGAAAATGGCCATTTTGGTTTGGGGGGGTGCAACCAAATGCAGGTCTCCCAGCTGCCTCTTTTCCAGGTCTCCCCCCAGTGCTTCCTACCCCAGCCTCAGGCACCTTCAGTCCACACCACATTCCCTCTAGTGAAGCCTTGGGTGAGTAGCTGCAAATGAAAATCCTGTGCTCTGGGTTTAAAATACAACAACAAACAAACAACTAAAACCTGTGGCTTTATCTCCTACCAACTCCAGACTCCCAGGGGCCAGAATTCCCCCCACCTTTCATACCTGGATGTTATGTGGCCTTCTGGTATCAGCTCCAGTGCTCCAGGTTGTGGAGCCCAGCCTGGGTTCCGGGCCTAGATCTTCTCAGGGAAAAGACCCTCCCATAGCCAAGAGGCTCCTCTTCACTCTCCACCTGCCACAGCTAGAAGCTGGGTCAGCCCTTCTCGTGACCTTGCCCTTCCTACCAGTCTCCGGGTGTTTTGTCCAAGTCTCCTCAGCTGGACCTCAGTTGGTAATTCCTGGTGAATGATCCCTAATTTAGTTGTATTTCCAGTCTGGACCTGGGAGAAGGTGCAAGAAAGGTCTGTGTATTCAGCTGCCATCTTCCCGAGTCTAATCCAGATAGATTTCTTCAGTTTTTGGACAAGAAATTGTATTTTTTAAAAGGAAAAGTCAAATCATGCCCATTGGTTTCTGTCTTCTACTAATTGTATGCCTACTTTATTTTTATTTCCTATACATAAAATCTTTTCCTTCTATTGTCCTTAAAGATACATTTTATTTCTTTTGCATCTCTATTTGAGGTATATATTTCTTAACCAGTCTAATCAAAGATTTCACCACTAATACTAAGAAGAAAACATTGAATGACTGTCCTCCCATTAATCTCAATATATTCCATTTTTAGGAAATCGTGAAGAAAGAAATCAGGTTATTTGGATGTAAATCATCTATTTTCACTGATATCTAGGATGTGAATGATGAGTTCTTTTATTGCTTTCTATGTAACAATTCCCTTTCCTTCAGAGAAGTCTATGCAGTAAAGCTCCTCTGGGAACTCCCGGGGCCCAGGCCTTTAAGTACTGTGAAATATTGAAATTACAGGGGGAAGTCCATGTGGGAACTAGATTATAGCAAACAATTGGAATGGCCCTAGCTGGTTTTCTCAGTTGTTAGAGCATCAGCCCATGGACTGAAGGGCCATGGGTTCAATTCTGGTGAAGGGCACATACCTCAGTTGCAGGCTCTATCCCCGGCCCTGGTCAGGGTGCTGCAGGAGGCAACTATTTGATGTGTCTCTCTCACATCGATGTTTCTCTCTCTCTGTCTCTCCCCCTCCCTTCCACTCTCTCTAAAAAAAATCAATGAAAAAAATATCCTTGGGTGAAGATCAACAACAACAAGAACAAATTGTAATGGAATCCCTAAAACAGACCTTATTTACAAACTATTATTTTAGCCTCAAACTCAACAAAAGGGAAGTATGAAAAGGTTATCTATCCGTACCTGCCTAAGAATGAATCTGCATAGTTGTCCCTCAAAGCTCTTTTGCACCACCCTTTGAAATACTCATGTTACAATCTGTTTTCCATTAAGTCCTCTGGCATTAAAAAAAATTACTAAATATATTCATGTAGTTTCCCCATGATAACCAGCTTCTGGTTTAAAACACTACCTTAGTTTTCTCAATCAACATATATTTAGCAATAGTCCTAAGGTGAACCTATCTGGAAAAACAAAATCCAAATATTAAGAAAATAATTTCAATACACCAATTCTGAATCATTCTAAGCATGACAGTAGTTTTCTTTCTCAATTTACTTTTTTTCCCCTTTTTTCCCTTTGTTTTTGTTTTATTTTTCCATCACCATTTATCCCCCCATACCCTCTTTCACCTGAAATCACCACACTGTTGTCTGTATCCATAAGTTCTTTCTCTTTTTTTTCTTTTTTGTTCAGTCCCTCCAGCCACCCTACAGCCCCAATTCACTTTTATATAATTTAATTTATTTTTTTCTCTCTAATAGTGTCACCGCTTTAAGAACCAAATTAAACATAACCATGGGAGAACTTCTTACTGTTTCTGTTTTGAATTTCTTCTTCAAAACTCTTTCAAGAAGTATTTAGTGAAGCCATATGGCACAAGGCTAACATGGGCTTTAGATTCAGACAGATTTAGACTCGAATTCCAGTTCCACCTTTAACATAACTTCAGGAATCCTCTCTAAGTTCCACTTTCTTCCTCTGTTTAAGAAGGAGGGTAATACCTACCCGCAAGGCAGCAAAATCAAAATGAGACAATGTATCTGAAGCACACTGTACAGAGCCAGGGACATAGTAATTACTCAGTAAATGGTAGCTACAATTTTATACATATGTAAACACTGAAAATCTGGAAAGTGAAGAAAAATATCTTAATTCTATCGCCCTAGTAGTAACACAAACATGTATATCTCTGTAATTTATGTCCACGTAAAAAACTTATTTTTATATTATTATAAATTTAATATACAGTTTTGTCCTTTTTTACATTATAATCACTTTTCCATGTTACCATGTAGTATTCACAATTGCCTTCTTAATTTGTTGAATGAGAGTCCGTTAAGTAAACTATCATAATTTAACCTCTAAACTCCTGCCAAACATTTGAGGTTTTTTGATATTACAAATAATGCTACAATAACATTTGCATGAATATCGCTTTTCTTTCTGTGGAATTCTTTCCTTAGGGTGAATTACTAGCAAAGTTGATCATTAGAGTAACCATAAACTCTTTTGTGACTTAGTTTTACCAAACACTTTCCCACAAGTTTAGACAATTTGTGGCGCCTCCACCCATGGGCATAAACACTATCGAGTCCTGCCCACCCTCCGGTATTAATACCGCTTCCTTTCATTTACGGAATATTGACCGTGCGCCAAGCGCTGGTCTCAGTGCTTCCCATGTCTGCCATCCTCACAGCAAATCTCTGAATAACTCTGAAGCAGTTGCTCCCTTTTTGCAGATAAGGAAGTAAAGGTTCAGAAAGCTTAAAAGCCACATCCAGTGTCGCATGGCAGCTAAGCGGTAGGACCTGGGCTCGCACTCGGGCCCTGCCCAGTGCCACAGCGCTCTCACCCACTTGGCTGTGCTCCTGCTTCATTCTTTTTTACCCCCAGGGAACCAGAGGTGGGAAAAGCTATTTGCACGGATATTTTCATACGCAGTTCTTGATTACTAGCAAAGTTGATCATTTCTACATGTGTGTTAAACTGCATATTCTTCTAGTGTTACTTGTTCATATTATTTATCGACTTCTGTAAAGAGGCGGGCGAGTTTGTTCCCTCTGTATTTTCCTGATCAGGTGTCAGCACAGCCTTCCTGCGAGAGGGCCAGGCCCCGAGCTGTCATCTATAAGAGGTGACCCTTCTCTGTCTCCTTCCTGCCTAATATGGGCTGAATACAAGCATGTTCTAGAAAGTTATGTGACTATCTTTTTAATGTTACTCACTTACATGATACGGCCCCTGGCTGATTTGGAATACCCTATGTCAGGAGTGAAACTGAAGACTCAATGTACCCTGAGGGGTGACAAGCTAAAATAGTTTCTTAACTGAACCAATTTACCAAGGTCTTTGAGAATTAATCTCTCATTCGCTCCAGCCTCGCCCCCTCCCACCCTTTCTCTTTCCATCTACAAATTTCTCTTCCGCTAACTAAGATAAAGACTGGAATGTGCAGATTTTTTAATGAATTTGCAATCCAAACAACTTGAGCACCATTCAAAGCTTATCTTCCATAATGTATAAAAACATCATCAAACCCTCACCCATGCTTTACTACGCAAAGCCAGATTTATCTAATACTAGATATAAACTTTAGTAATCCTTTTTAAAATATGCTCCAATACCTGCATTATGTCTTGCAATATATCCAAGTGCCCAGACTGCAGCCTCTTTGACTCCAGGGTCAAAATCCTCCAAGCATATCACCAGCGTGTCCAGCGCTCCACAATCAACTATGGCCTGAGCTAGTTGAGGGGAATGTTTAGCAACTGCCCGTAACACAAAGGCAGCTGCTTTCTTGTAGAAACGCTTCAAGGATAAAATAGATAAAACTCAAAGTGAGTTGAGCACTTACATAACGAAAAGTTAAAATAGACCAAAACTAACGTAAAAATAACATTAATATAATAAAACTCAACAGCTTTTAAATACAAAAGAAAAACATCCTGCAACGTCATTTCGATTTTTTTATGCTCCCCCATTGCTTTTGTCCAGTAGCTAAACAAAAACAATGTAAGTCTTATATTACATTTCAAATGCTTTATTCTAAAACATGCATTTATAAAATAAAATATTATATTCCCTGCAAATCGTATTTCTTACAAATTCATTATTTTATTTAACGAGATTTTTATGTATCTGCATTACACTAAAGGTATTTGTTTGACCCATGGGAACTCTTGGGTTGTTTGCATGTGCAACTAAACTGTCAACTCACAAATTTGTTTCCTTTACTTGCCCTCAGTCTCTAAGCCTGGTAGGCCTTTCATGACCTCAGCTAATCTTTCTGGTGTGCTAAGTTATCCTGAAATAACAACCATGTTTCGAGATGCACTTATCAATCATTGGATCAACATAAAGGCAAAAAATTCATGATACATTTTAAAACTTTTCCTGGCAAATAAACTAGCCAAACAACGGGACATGTTATTTATCCCTTTTTAGAAACTTTTTTTAGGAAGGTAAATACAAATGACTTAACATGATATGAATACTTCATATTTATAATATTTTCTACATATGAGTTTTATCAGATTAAGAAATAAAACTGAAACATGATTTTTCTTTATATAGCTAAGAAAATTAAATGTTTAGGAAGTATTTAGCTGTAATACTCACTGTGGCTTTATGGTTCAAATAATGACACAGTAGTGGCTTCTTAACTCTTTTATTAACAGAACCTAGTTAACCCCCTATTTTAGATTGTTTCTATTTCTTTACAGTGACTACTAAAAAAGTGACTGGATGTCATAGCACCTGTTTTGAAAGCATTCTATTTACTTAGGCTAAAATATTAAGATATAAAAAAATTTATAAAGAGAGAAAATACACCAAGTATATTTTTAACATTATATCTCAAAACCTGGTATATATTGATGATCTAAGAAATATGCTATTTAGTAATGATGTTTTGATTTTATGTATTTCTTTAGTTTCTTAAGTGTTACATATGGAGATATTAAAATATTTGTTGTAAAGTCTCATTTTATATGTCAGAAACCAAATACCTACTAATTTATTGTAAAAATTAGAATAGAGTTTTAAAGTAGCTTTTCACCAATTTTCTTCTTTAAAAAACATTTTTACTGACTTTAGAGAAAGAGAAAGAGCGAGAGCAAGAGAGAGAGAGAAACAGTGGTTGCCTCCCACACTCACCCTGACCAGAGATCAAACCCGCAACCTGGGTATGTGCCCTGACTGGGAATCGAACCGGAGACCTTCCCCTAGGATGACACTCAACCAACTGAGTCACACTGGCCAGTTCTCCACAGATTATTATCTTATAGTTGTGGAAAAATAATGGTAATACATTTCTTATCATTACCTTAAGCTAATTTGACTTTTTATATTGTAGAATTTTCAAATTCTCAGATAATTTTTTGGGTATTAATCATCACTACTAACTTCAGAGCCTGTAACCCACACTTTCTGATCTCATTCCCCTTTCTCCTAATTTCTGCTTTCCCCAAATCCTCTCTTCTCTCCCATTTCTCACCAAAGGAATTTCCTTGAAGAAAAAAAAAAGAAAAAGAAAAACCAGAGGACTTTGTACCTGGTAAAGAAAAATTAAATCTCCTGCAAGAAATGAGTTAAAGGACTGGCAGGTGAAGGAGACAGAAGCCTGTGAATAATGCTTCACATTCTCACTTTCTCGTCACTTTTCTGCCCTAACACATTTTTGTCTCTCTTCAACTGATGGACATCATTCCACTTAGAAAACTTCTATTAAGAACCTTCTATGTGGGATACAAAATACACACTCTGTCCTCAAAGGAAGGAGTTAAAAGTCCAGGAAGAAGAAAGTCTAACAGTTTTGATGACAGAAGGAGTATCTACAAGAAAAATTAAATTTCTGTGACTCCTTGTAGGGGTAAAACAGTCATTAGTAAGTGACTCTCCAATTTATAAAAATAAGGCAAATTTGTCAACAATTAGGACTTGTGTTTACTTTTTAAAATTCTGGTAAAATACACATAACATAAAATTTACCATTTTTACCATTTTAAAGTATACGATTCTGTGGCATTTAGCGCATTCACAATGTGGTGCAACCACTTTTCCAGTTCCAGAACATTTTTATCACCCCAACAAGAGCCCCGTGTGTTAAGCAGCCGCTCCTCCCTCCCCGAGGCCTGGGCAGCCACTGGTCTGCTTCTGTCTCTGTGGATCCGCATTGTCCGGACAGTTCACATAAATGGAATCATTTAATATGTAGCCCTTGTGTCTGGCTTCTTTCTCTCAGCATAACCTTCTTAAGGTTCCTCCATGTTGCAGCATATATTGGTACTTCGCCTTTTTTATGACTGATAATAAATATGCCACTGCATGGATACCTCACCTTTTGTTTATCCAGTCATTCTTCTGGTTGTTGAATATTGCTGCTATGAATATTTGTGTATAAGTTTTGTCTGAACACTCATTTTCAACTCTTTTGGAAATATAACTATTGAGTAGAGTTGCTGGGTCATATGATAATTATGTTTAACTTACTGAGGAATTGCCAAGCTGTTCCAAGCAGCTGCACCATTTTATGCACCTACCAGCAGTGTATGCGGGGTCTAATTTCTCCACATCTTCACTAACACTTGTGTTTTCCATTTTTATTATGGCCATCCTAGTAGGTAACATGCTAGCTCATTGTGCTTTTGATTTGCACTCCCTAAGGACTAAATGCTGTTGAGTATCTTTTCATATTTGTTGGCCATGTGTATATCTTCTTTGGATAAATGTCCATTCAAGTCTTTTGACCACTTTTAATTGGATCGTTTGTCCTTTGGTTACACAAATAGGAATGTAGCCTTAAAGATATGTCAAGAAAGATATATTCCTAGGTTAGGTTATGATAAACTAGCAGAATGGAATGAAGAGTCCAAGACCCTACCTACAGGAAGATCCTTCCTTAACTACTTTGGTGGTGCTGTACAGAAAAAAAGTGGAACCACACAGACAGAGGGGGGAAAGTGGGGCACTCTTAAATGACCATTCAAGGGGCCTAACATCCTTTCATACTTGGTAAAAATGCTTTATCAAACCTTCCATTAAACACATTCTCCTTCCTTTTGGATGCTTCTCTCCCCCTTGCTTTAAAGCAATTTCTTATAGTTGCCATTAACCAAATTTCACCTGTATATAAAGATTTCTGTAAACAACTTTTTATTTGCTTAAGGCTTTATATACCTAAGGCTGATCCTATAATTTTAATACACAGAAATACCGCTTTATGTATAATTCCATTACATTTTAAAATCTGTTTTCTCTTTACGTTAACAATAATGAGGAAAAGCTGCATATCAGCCTCAAAGTAGAATGCCCTAAAGATACTAGTATGTTCAGTTCAAAGAACTGAATGTTTATTAACATCTTAATACTTCTAATGCCTACAAGCCTGCAAATGTACTTAAACTATCAATTTTTTAAGTCCAAAACATAACTTTTTAAAAATTCTTACATTCTCTTCTGGCAACAAATAAAACAAGCTGTGGAAGAATGTCCCTTGACAACTGCTTCTGCCAGGTCGTCATTATAATTAGCCAGCCTGCCAAGAGCCAAAGCAGCAGTCTGTTGAATTGTGGGGACCACATCCAGAAGGAGAGGCCTCAGCAAAGGCACTACACTTGAGTTAAATTATGAAAGAACACAAATCATCAAAATTTACATTAAAAAGCAAACACACACTTCAGTATATGTGCAAATAAGAAAATTAAGGGAAAAATCAACAAAAACAAAAATTTAGCCCTAAAAACTAATGGGCCTTAGCCAGTTTTGCTCAGTGGTTAGAGCATGCAGACTGAAGGGTCTCAGGTTCAGTTCCAGCAAGGGCACGTACCTGGGTTGCAGACTCGATCCTGCTCTGATCAGGGCGCCTATGGGAGGCCACCAAGCTATGTGTCTCTCTCACATTGATGTTTCCTTTTCTCTCTCTCCTTTCCACTCTCTCTAAAAGCAATGGAAAAAATATCTTCAGGCGAGGATTAAAAACAACAACCAAAAAAAAACGAATGAGATATTTAGAAGCATGTAATTGGCCAAATACAGAATAATACAATCTGTAATTATCAAAGAAGTAGCATAGTGTGGAAATAAGAACGGCTTTGGGGTTAGAGAAGAGTTTAAATCCCTGATTGGCAAATACTAGCTATGTGACCTGACAGGGCTGTCCGTACAAATGCAAAGAGAGGTTGTGAAGCACATGGTATAATGCCTAGCACGTAAGGGGGGCAGGGCTGATTCCCCCACCCCCATCCCCCAGCCTTTGCAATTCTATCTTTCAGGGCTGAGTTCAGATTCTTTCCTCTCAAAGAAGTCTTTCATTTGTGTTTTATTTTTTTTCCCTCTCTCTCTGACTGTTGGGTCTTTTCTCTGATTCCAAATGAACTTAGAGTTGGTTACAGAAATTTTTGTTAGGATCTATCTGAGAGCCAGGGGAGCTAGGAGGGCCATTTGGCTAGGACCTCATATTCATGAAGGGCTGCAAATCACATTTCTGACATTATCTCCAAATAAATAAATTATTTGACATAAAAAAGTATATTGTATTATCAGGTTTGATAATATTCATTTTAGGATTAAATTCAGAGTCAGTATATCATCCTCACAATAATAATAAAAATAGTTTATATTTATGGAGCACTTATATGCATGCATTGTTTTAAAGATATGTTTTCCATATTAATTCACTGATTTCTCATAACAAACCTATGATGGAGGCCCTATTATTATGTCTATTTTACAGATGAGAAAATTGAGGTTAAAAACAAGGTTTAAAAAAATTGTCACACAAGTAATAAATGGTGGAGCAAGGTTAGAAATTCTGATATTCTTTATTGATAATTGCTAAATAAATAATATGTATTAAAATTGAGGAGGTAGGGAAAGGAAGACAAATAATAATTGCATTTTGGTCATTTTATTGAATATTCCAACTCTTTATATTAACTTTGCCTTATTAGACAATATATAAGATAGCCAATGGCTATTTGTGCTTTATGACGGTGTTTTACAGTTACAAGAAAAGTAATGATGTTAATGATGGTGTTTTAGTCTAAGGTTACAAGAAAGGTAATGATGGAGTTCAAACTGGAACAAAGTGCTCCTTTACTTTCTAAACTTTATGTAATTTACAGCAGGCTATTCAACTGATGCTATCACATCTTTTCTATAAAAACATATTCCAGTGATCTATAAAAGCATATATTACCAATATTCTTTTATAATGTTACATCCAGAAACATTTGAAATGGAATAAAAAAAAACCCAACATTTACAATAACATTTAGAATTAGACTAAAGTAAGATAAATAGTACTACCAAGTAACATAAACTGAGCATAATGATGCTTATCTCAGATACATTTAATGATGTGACCTGTGGCTTTTCATAGTTTCCTTTTTCACTTAGTGACCATTTTTATGTCTAAGTTTGCTTGGTTAGATCGTCTTATACAAGGCCACAGTTGCAAGTTTAAATCCCACACCAGCTGGTTAACTTTGCAGGCACAAAGCACTCCTGCTCATGCCCGGGTCATAGCTCCTATCAGACAAATCAACATGCCTATGCTCATAAGTGTTGCTTATATTATTATATGTACTTTTTTTCATAGAGGTACTTTCTGAAATCTCTCACACAAAAAAAGTTTAAAGCACAGAATTAGGTATTACAACTACTACCAAGTGTTAACATGGGTCCTTCCTAGAAAGTTGGGTTTAAAACAATTTGCTGATCTCCTTTGTAGTTTGCTTTATTACTTCATTTTTTTTAAAAATTGTGGTAAAATATGCATAACATAAAAATTACCACTTAAACCATTTTTATTGTACAATTCCAATGATGTGTAATCAGTGCCACCATCCCGAAACTGTTAAATGATTTCCTACAGAAGCTGCACCATTTTACATTCCCACCAGCAAACTGCAAGGGTTCAGATTTCTCCACATCCTCACCAACACTTACTCTCTGGGTTGTTTTAAAATAATAGGCATCCTAATAGCTGTGAAGTGGTATCTCGCTATGGTTTTGATTTTCGTTTCCCTAGCACTAACGATGGTGAGTGTCTTTTCATGCACTTGATTACTGGCCATGGTACATCTTCTTTGTTGAAATGTCTATTCAAGTCCTTTGCACCTTTTTTAATTGGGTTGTTATTTGTTGTTGAATATAACTTGATATTTTTATAGTAAATATGCATCATTTAAAAAAGAAAAGCTAAAAAAAGAAAAGCTAAATTTGTTAACATATATTTAAAGTTTCATAATAAATACATTAATGTGGCAAAAAAGTGTAAAGTATAAGTATGCTTAGACAATTAAAAAGGTATTTAGCTTGTCAAAGGAATACCATATGTATTTTCTCCTCCATCTGACTGAGGAAAAATAACGTCAATAAAATGACACATAATCCCTTCCCTTCTACTCCTGATTCAACATCCAAGTTAGGCTTCGGCATGGAAACTTCTGCTCTATCATAGTTTCCCTGTATTCCTTAGTCTAGACAGTAGCATGATGAGGATTTTTAAAAATTTTTAAATCTCTGAACTTATACAAGTAAAAGCTAAAGTTTCCATTTAAAATATCTTTGTTTGGAGGGGGGGCAGGTAGAAGAGAGTAAATGGGTGATAAATGGTGATGGAAGGAGATTAGACTTTAGGTGGTGAACACACAATACAATATACAGATGATGTATTATAGAATTGTACACTTGAAACCTATATAATTTTATTAACCAATGTCACCCCAATAAATTCAATAAAAAGTAAAATATCATTTGAATAAGATCATTCTTATTATAGAAAATATGGCCCCTAATTTCTACTCCTTAAATCACCTCTTAGTGCCTTATCATTATTAGTCCCCAGGCACATGATTTTTCTCTCTTACACAGTTTAAGCATGGAGACTTTGTTATTTAATTACAGGTTTGTCCTAAAAATATAGGTAATGAGCAAGGGACACAGAGAGACAAAAGGGAAAAGGGGAGAGGAAGGGACAGAAGGGAAGAGAAGGGGAGGAGAGGAGAGGGGAAAAGAAGTATATATAACATGAAAAGAAATTTTTCCTTACCTGCCTGTCCATTAGGAATCCATAGTGAATGATCATCAGTGAGGAATGCATGAAAATTTAGAGTCCAAAAATTACAGTAGTTGGAATAGATGATCTACTATCTGATACACTAGGTCTCTGGGGAGCAGCTAATGACCTCTTTGGGGCCTCCACTGAAGGAGCCAGCATGATCTAATACCTAATATTAAAAATAATTCATATATTGTACTCTAATATTTATAAAACAATTTAGTCTACTCTATACTCTGATAAAAAGTGTGAAACTATTTTTGAAATTTAACTTATAGGAGAAATCTTTACAATCCCCCTTCAACTTTATAGCTTTGAGCTCCATTTCTATTTCTCTTGTTCCAGTGCTGTACCAATACCTACACTGCAATCCAGTTATGCCCAAAACAAAAACAGCCTTGCTGACCCTGATCAGGGTTTACCAAGTGGCAAGGAATAGAACTACACACATGAGTCAAGGCAGCTCTTACTCCCAAGAAACAAATAATCGAGTGCAGGAGATTATAGAATAGCCTCAAAATAATCACAGCTCTTTCCTCTAACTTCTTTCAACGCAACAGAGGCCTAACTACTTTGATGTTGCATGCCTGCTGCATATGTAAATTAGAAAGGGAATGTCAAACATTTCCAAAGACAAAAATGTTACCCGTTCATTCTCATATTACATATATATAATTTATATACATATTACCTCAATCTTCTGTTTATAAAGATATTTAATATCTCAACTTTGTTTCTTTAAAAACAAGTTGTAAACTGGGCCTTCGGGCCCATTTAAGTCATAGTAACAATTTCTGATTGCCCTGGTTATTTCTTATCCTTGTTTTGTTTTTCAATTTTATTTATTTTTATTGTGGCAAAATATACAGAACAAAACTTATTATTTTAACCATTTTTAGATGTATAATTCAGTGGCATTAAGTACAGTTGTGTAACCATCACCCACTATCATTTCCAGAACTTTCCATCATCACTAACAGATACTCTATACAAATTAAACACTAACTCCCCATTTCTCCCTCCCCCCAGCCCCTGGTGACCTGTATTCTACTTTCTGTTTACTGTAAATACCTCATATAAGTGGAATCATATATTTGTCCCTTTTTGTCTCACTTATTTCAAACTTAGCATGTTTTCAAGGTTCATCTATTGTAGCATGTACCAGAATTTCATTACCTTTGTAAGATGAATAATATTCTATTGCATGTATACACAACATTTTGTTTGTCCATTCACTGGTGATGGACATTCAGGTTGTTTCCACCTTTTGGTTATTGTAACTAATGCTCATATGAACATTGCTGTACATGTATCCATTTGCTTCCCAGCTTTCTATTCTTTTTAGTGTGTACCTTGGAGTGGAATTGTTGGATCAAATGGTAATTCTATGTTTAATTTTTCAGGAACCACCAAACTGTTTTCCACAATGGCTGCAGCATTTTACATTCCCACCAGCAAAGCACAAGGATTCCAATTCCTCCATATTCTCAGCAACATTTATTTTTGTTTTGACTTTTTATAATAGCCATCCTAATGTGTATGAAATGGTA